TTAATGCAAAGGACTAATTCAAATGAATAATTTTGGTCAATTTAATTCGTTGCCATCCAGATTATTCTTTTGATCAAACATTTAAATTTCAAATATTTGATTTGTTTTAAAGCAGTCAATAGGTCAAAATGTTTGGAAAAAGCTTCGGTATCTTTTGGATATTAGCAATTTCTGAAAATACAGCAAATACCAATTCCCGAAACCGAATAAGTCAATTTTTTTTGTGCTACAAAAAATTCGCACCAATTATTTTTTTCAGATTTTACGCATAGTTTCAAAATGTTTTTTGACCAATTTTTTGATCTGTCGATACAAATTTCTTCGCGGGATTATGTCCTACAGCGTTAAGAGTTTGAAATGTGTTAAATGTATGATTAAATTAAATTCAATTTTTAAACTGCGCTTGTCTTTGAAGTGCTTGTATTATCAAAATGTTAATCAAAGAATAAATAAATCAGAGCAGTGGTATTTCCCGCCAGATTCTCTTCTGAAAAATCTAAGATTCCAAGCTAGAAACACAAAATTCCTTTCAGTAATTCGGAACTATTGATATCTGTGAAACTTTTACAAAAATTAGATGACTGTTGTGTTCACATACTTTGTTGCTACAATATGTTATCATTTCCTGATTTTTAATTTACATTGTAACAGTAACAGCGCAATGATTTTTGACTGCAGTTTTGACCAAAATGTTGTTTCAGTCAAGTTTTCATTTCATGAGTAAGTCAGATAATGAATGCGGCAATAGAAATTAGACTAAGTAAGAAGTATTAATGAATGAAGGAATATAAATTTGGAATATAATCCTAGCAATTCGACAATTTTGGAAAACAAACTACTGAAAAAATGAGCATTTGATCAATGTGTTCTTTAATTTTGCTTTTTAAAATCTGATATAGTTCAAAGCTTCAAGTCTAAATACGTGGATAAATGACGTACATAAAGTGAGGTACACAAATGAATGGTACTTTTAATAAATTGCACACAATAATTCAATTTTACGTGATTGGAGAATACAGCATAAAATATCATTAACTACCTTTCTGTACATAAAGTGTGAAGTATTCGTAGAAAATTAAATTTCCATTTGAAGTTACACTTTTACCTAGCAAAGAAAAGAAGTGCAGCAATGAATTCACAAATATTACTCGATGTAGACGCGTAACTGTAGCCTTCTCTGAACCTTCTTTTTATCGCTGAAAAGTCATGATATTATACAAAATCTGAGTGCTTTTTGAATCCCATTTGCTTGACGTTTTCACGTAACAAAAGATACATCATAACGAAATCAGTGTAAATATATGAAAGTTTTGATATAGCACCCTTCTGCCCAACTATTACAATTTCGGAAACAACACTTAGAGCAAACTTTTTGGTTCTCCGAGTGAGCATTATACTTATTGCAATAAGTAGTTGAATATCAATCAGAGATCCAACTCGACAAATTATCCAATTTACTAATAATAATTACTAACTTACCGCCTGATAAATAATAATAAATAATAATTTTCTTACAAACAATTAGCCCATCTCAAAATATTAATATTCTATTAGCACTAATCAAAGTCACTAGTCCATTTCTTTATTAGGTCAAAGTGTAAAATCGGACAAATTAAGTGGAAATTACAACTGGATGCAATAATCAAATGTATCATTCACGCATACTACATAACACGTTAGACATTAGAAGGTTATAAGGTCATCCGAGAATTCACAGTTTACCTAAAATGATAACAGCAATAACAACAAAACGTAAAAGTTGTTGATATAAAATGTAGAAAATGACAAACTGAATATTACTCTCAGAACAATGCTGAATAGAGTCAAAATATTGTACTGCACTTTCAAATTTATGAAGATGATTAGCAATGCTTGTGAATTGAATGCAGAATGTTGATGCACACAATGGGATCAGATAGGTAAATCTTCTGCTAGCATACAGATGGAATATTTCTAATTTATTCACTCTTAGTTAGTGTATAAGCAGATTATTTGCATGTTCATTTGTGTATTACTTAGCTGAAAATAAAAATTGATAGTAGGAGATCTACAAGGTTAATCGCTGATTATGTTTTTTGAATTCTGCTCTAAAGGCAAGTAATTAGCTTATAGCTAATAAACTATAAGCTAGTTTATTTCTGCTAATTAATTCTTTTTCAATTTTTTAATTTGCATATTTTGCTTTTACTTAATTTTCAGTCTTCCGAACAGTCACTGAAAATTTTGATTAACTTTGTATAAAGTAAAAATACTACTTATTTTGGCAAATCTGCAGTATGTGAGCTGAAGTTGACATTTACCATTTACACGTATATAATTGTAGTCAAGAAAAGATACTGTAACAATCAAAAATCAAAAGTTCAAAAAAAGACTAAATTACAAACATATATGTTAAGAAGCGGTAATTATTTATTTACAAAAGACGCGATAATTAATTAACATTGTTTCCTTTCATAAATAATTTTTCGCGGATTTTTATGTTTAATTTTTTCAACTAAAATAATTTACGCTACCTTTCTTATTTCCTTTTTTTTTTTGAAACTAATTAATGTTTTTTGCACGCCAATTCAACCAATATTTTGTTTACATGTCATCAAATCCAAATTATGCTTTTACTTTAATTTTTTCTTCATAAAAATTTTTTAAAAAATTTCCGGTATCTGTAGACAATAGTAACATATTACTTGTTCACATCATGGCGAATTTAATCTGGCATCAAGAAGTTTGAGTATAATGTACAGATGAATCAAGAACTTAATCTTAGTGAAGACAAAACTGGTTGATGTTAGTTGACGAAAGAATATATCCAATAAAATTTGGATGCGCACACATGCATACATTAATACATAAATTACAAAAACGCAAAATTGAATACGACGCGCATGCATTTATAGAAATGAATGCATACGGAGAAATAGACAGATAAAATGCAAAAAAAGATTGAATAATTGTCAAAATGATGCATAAATATAAAATTCAAAGTAAAGATATAGTCAAGATTGAAAGAATGTGAAGAATGGGGTTTTGCATACAGGTTAGTTCTGTTTTTACTCTTGATCTTATGCCTTCAGGCATTTGTAATTGTGCATGAAAAAGACTTTAAATTCACAGTTTGGAAAAAATTATCGGATATCTATTCAAAAATTCCATCAACAGTTCTACTACTTCGTTTAGTAACCAAGAAGTTTGCGGTTTTATCTTAAGTTCACGTAAATTAGATTCCCGTAATTTACGAAAAAATATTATTCCATTTCTTTACTCGATCTTTATTATTTCTACCTGATGTTTATTCTAAATATGACTACATTTATTGTGGTATGTTACTATCATTATTATTCCTATACTTGCAAATTATTATTATTATCATTATTATTAACATTTTTGATATCCAGTTTATATTATTCATTAATTATAATTTTTAATATAAAACTAATGTTTCTCTCATGCACTTCCAAATTTTTTATTACAAAACAAATTAGCATAAGCTCTATTGCAAAATCAAGAATCAAATTTTTAGATGAACACTATTAAAAACTATTAATTTGCAAATTTTAATTAATAAGTATTAATTAATAAAACTTTGGTGAGCGCTTGCTTTGATATTTATAAATTGAAGTTATACTGATAAAATCAAATTTGAAACTTCTCAAGTAGAATAAGCAATATTAAACGTCTAGCTAAGATTAATAGCATTTTGAGATATTTAAGCAAGCAGAGGTTGCAAAATAATTCGTTCTGAAAATTTTAGTGATATTTTGTGATAAGAAATTGTCACTTATTATTACTAGCTGTTCACTGGTAGCATTTTCAAAGTTATAATTTTGTTTGCTTTCACATTTTTTTATAACTTTTCAAAAAATAAAAATAAAAACAGAACCAAAAAATAGAATTTTGAATTCAAATTATGACAAAAAATAAATTCGAAGTGACTGGTCTAGAGGACTGTTCATTAATAAATATTAAACACATTAAAATAAAAAATTTTGAATACAGATTGATAATTGTGACTATGAATCATAAATTTAAGCTTGCAAATTCTGCATGCTATTGAAGAAGGAAACATTCTATTATTTTACATCAGAATATATGCAATTATTCTCTATAGGATACTGTACAATACAATATATCATTCATAATTTTGCCTTTGTAAAGTTAATCAAAAATTTGTTCACTTTCAATAAATAAGTTATTACTGAATTATGGGTACAATTCTGTCGCTCTGGTCGATCAAATACCATATATAATTAACTTTTAGATACTTTTGTTGATGGTAATAAGTGAGCAAAGTTTGGCATGTACGCCAAGTTGTGGAATGGCTGGATGTCACATCCCGCCCCCGCCTTTTCCAGGAGGATGCGGGAAGCCTCCATGTGGTGGTGGCTGCAAAAGTGGCAGTAATGGATGTGGCGGGTAAAATTTTGTTTTCATACATTTTTTCGCCATATTTGTAATTAAAATTATCTATAAGAAGAGTTATAGATGAAGTACATATTTCAATTTCGTTTATTTGCGAATTCTAATTATTAAATTTCGAAAAATACAATTTGTCAAGTTATCTCAGAAGTAAACAAAATAGAAACAAAAAAATTTAAAATAATTATTTTTTGCCAATATTTAATGAATATTATCATATTTATACTTGAATATTATGCTTATTTATTCACGAACGCTTTAAAAAACTTCATTTTTAATCAAAAATGGTAAATATACTCGAAAAATTCAACACTATTCATTTAAATACATTTGAATCATACATTGACTGCATTTTAGATTTTAATAAACACTAAAATAAAATGAATTTCAACTGGCTAACTGAATTAATCGAGAACAATTTTTAATGAATTAATAATTTCAGAGGTGGACCACCACCACCACCACTACCACCACCGCCAGTATATGGTGCTCCTCCATCGATAAGTAATGTATATGGAGCCCCGATACCATATGCAACATCATAAGCTAACAGAGGTATCATTTTCTGAATAACTTCCAAAAATCTCAATTATTTATGGTAACAAAAATAGAAAGAAATTTGCACTCTATTATTATTTAGTAATGCTTCATTTCAATTACAAATTACATGAAATTTAATTAAATGACTCTAAAATATAGCAAAAATGGTTGCATTAAGATGTACCGTAGCTTTCTAATCAGCAATCAATGAAAATTAAAATTTGATAAGCTAAATTAGATTGATATCTGAATTTGCAGGAGTATACAATGCTGGCACTCGAAAGACATTTCTCAAAATATTTTCTTGGCAATAATGAAGCAAATTTGTACAAAATAGTAATGATCACTACGAATATAAGTTCATTATATTATTACCTAAGAATCTTCAGAAAACCAATGTAACAGAGATAATTTTAAGCGATTTGTTCTGTTGTAATACTCGAAGCAATGCAACAATTTCATTTCTTTTCCGTTTTTTGTTTCTACATGACTCATATTAAAGTAGCTAATTTGTATTCGCTCTTGCAAAATCTTGACGGTTCGCCATAAACTAATCTTTCTAGTTTTGTTTCAATAATAAGTGTTCAATTTCAGTTAAAAACAAATGTTATTTTAAGAAAGAACGATGATGTTTTTTCTTTGGAGATATTCAGATCTTTTTGATCTTCTCTGATCCTTCTCTCAAAATGTTTGATTGAATGGATTGATACGGAAAGTGATAATAAATATACTTTTTGTTATCTTATCTAAACACTATTTCACACCTTGACATTGTACAAAAACTGTCTAAATCAATATTTTTTCCAATCGCAGTAAAATAAGAGCCAAACTTTATTACTTACTTAGCACAATAATAATCTAATAATTTCTTACAATTACTTTTCTCACATAAAATTTTTGTAACTAATAAAAAAGACCCCACTTAAATTATCAAGTAAATAGCTTATCAGTGATAAAACTCAATGCATTTGCTAATAAATTAGTAGGAAACAGCTCAAAAATGAAGAAGAAATTAAAGCTATCAGGCATAGAGTTAAAAGGATGTAAGTCAGTGAGAAACAAGTTCATATCCTTACTCTCAGCCTCGTTTCTACTCCACAACAATTTAGTTCGATCATGCGAAGTAACTGGATAAACATTTGTATAATCGTCATCTGCAGTGATCTGCAAAAAGTCAGATGCATCGAACTACTCTATAATATTATCTGGATTGTTGATTAAACACAAACATTATTGAACTTATTTAACTTTCATTCTAAATAACAAAAAATGATTTTTTTATCCAATTATCCTGAGTATAGCAAAAAAATATAACAAATGTCTTAGTTCCCTATGCAAAAGTTCTATCTTAATGAAAAATCCAAGTACTAAAAATTATGTAAGCGTGCATCTATCTAATCTTCAAATTAGTAACTCATTTTAAAAAATTTTGAATGTCAATTTATTCCTAAACAATATTCCACTAAATTAATTACCTGTTTTAATCCACTCCCATCAACGTTTATAAGGAAAATATTAAACATTTTCTTTTTGGCCACACTATTCCGAGCAAAAAGAATTTTCTCGCTACTTATAAATTGAGGCCATAAATTTGTATTCCCTGTTGTCAACTGACTTATATTAGTTCCGTCACTGTTCATTAAAAATATCTGTGTATCCCTCAGTTCAACTGCATGGTATCTGTAGAATTATCAGCAATTAAATTTCAATTCAAATTTTAGTTGAATTTCATTTTGACTTTTAACAATTTCTCTCACTTCAAACTTGAAATAAATTTTACAAAATCTGTAAAAAATCATAGTTTTAATTTGAGAAAACAACTATTCAGTTGGTTAAGCAATTCAGTTTTTGTTATGCTTCACATTTAAAAAATTAAGACTTTAAAAACTGTTAACACTTCTTCTAAATAAAACACTAAAACTTACTGATTTAATAACAATCCGTAGTGAGCACGTTCAGTTCTTGATTTCGGACGTGAAGCGTGAAAAACAATAAATTTTCCATCAAGGCTGAATTTAGCGCCACCTTCATATCCAAGTATATCTGTGATCTTCAAATGCACATGGCATTCTATTTAATATATTCATTCTATTTTTAACATAAATGCTTTTCAATATTTGAAGAAAAACTAATAGTAAATCATCAAACTTTACGATAATATCTTACATATCATAAGTTGCTATATTTTCGGTAATGACAGAAAAACAAAAATTAGGCCAGATATTCAACCAAATAAGCTAACTAATCACTGAGGAACTGATAATCGAATAGCACTACTTATTCAATAGCAGACTTATTACAAACTACTAACCATATATGTTAGAACCTATTTTTTAAAGATAAAACTTATACTTGTTTTAGATTTCCCCCATCGATATTCATAATCCATAGATTTGCATCACCTCTTCTTGTTGACGTGAATACCATTTTTTTTTTATCCGGTGATAAACTGATATCCCCATGATAACCTAAATGACAATTTATATCTTTAGTTATTTACATTAAAGTGTATCTCAACATTTTTTAGAATTCTAGCTGAATTGAATATAGTTTGTGTTTGCATTATATTATTATATACTTAAAATGAATGACGAAATGCCATAACTTTTAAACTCTACAATTTACATATTTACATATTCACTTTAAACCGATGATTCGAAAAATAGATAAACAAAATCTGATTTTTCATACATCAATAAAAAGTTGTACGCAGGTGCCAACAAAAAATTATATCATATAGCTTGAGTACAGCATAATACATTGCAACGTAGTTAAAACTACCTGAGGTGTCTGTTAAGCGACGGACGAAATTGCCAAATTTATTTACTTTAATAATTTCGAAGTCAGGATAAAGGTCCAGAACAAGTGATTTCTTGCCTAAAAAAATAAAAGCATATTATACGTAAGATTACTTTGCATTGAACTAAAACCCAATTAAATTACAATTATTCTTTTGAAGCACTGATAACGACTAATATGCTGTATAAAGTTCAGGTATTATACGTAAAATCACGTATCATATCTTCTTGGGACAAAAACTGAAGGCAAAGAAGTTGCTGGTAGGTGCAAATAACATGAGTAAAATTATAAACCATACAGACTGGTAGAAAGTTTATTGCAAATTCTATAGTTCTACCTTACCATTCAATATCTAACAAACAGAACTCAAATGCCAAATGAACAAAACAGTAAAATTAGTTACTGCCTACCAAAATTTACTTTGACTACTTCAAAAGTATTAATTGAAGTAAACCAATTTTGATAATTTGATAATTAAAAAGTCGTACATATTTTCTTTGCCCATGGTTGTTTCACACGGGTGCAAGCCCCACGCGGGCAACTGTTCAAAACGGAACGATCAGCGGTAACTATATTGCTGGAGTACAGTGCATCATAATCAGATATGAATATGGGTGATCGAGCAGCTCCAAGTCCTTAAGCTTACATTTTGTACGTTTTTCAAAATTCCAATCTGATCATGAGACTTTGTTAATCTATCATCAGAAATTATTGGAACACACAAAAAAGGAAATCATCATAGTACTATGAACTACTCCTTTTGATAATTTTTGACAAAAACTTTTAAAAAATCACAACCACTTGTTAGTAGTTGTGATCGGCAGGCTTTGCATGAAAAATGTAAGCGAGATAGACAAATACATTAAATTCGTGATACTTTCAAATAAACTTATTTTTCAGCAACATATTTAAAATATGAAGTTAATTTCTTCAATGAAAATTTAAAATCATAATAATACAAGTTATCAGAGTCAGAGGCAGAAACGGAAAAAACTGAGTGAAACATAGAATTCGTTCAAGAATTTGTATTCAAATACCTGTACTCAAACGTCTAATTCTTCTTGACACATTTGTTAGATCCAAATCAAATATCTAAATTTGAACACTTTAAAAATAATACAATCATTAAACAATAATAATGACTGAGCAGAGATAAGAATACTTTAGAATACAAAAATGAAATAGTAAACCTGCTCACATGCTGCACCGTAAAAGTTGTTACCGTATCCTTCATAAATTATTCTCTTGTCATTCATACTGAAACATCAAGGCTTTATGCAAATATTTCTGATAAATTTGATTAAAGCAATACTTCAACACTGTGTAAAGTTCATACTTTATTTTGCTATAATTTTGGGACACACAGAATTATCGAGCAATTGCAAAAATAAAATTGTGAACAACAATAACTTAAATATCATTTCTTTAAAAGATGAGGGATTGAATTTTAAAACTTTTTTAATAAAAGCTTATGTAAACATTTTACTCCGAACAATAAAACTTGTTTAATATATAAGACGGAAAAATATAAAAACATATGTAAATTACAGACCTAAAAGAAGATACAATGTTAATATCATGAAATGTTAGCTGCTGAGCTTTGCTTGGATCGTTTCTTTTTTGTAAAACACTGTGAAAGGTGTGATCAGACTTGATTGATTTCTGAAAATGGCATTCGATAATCAAATGGTTCATGACTGTGAAAATTGTATAGAAATTTCCCATAGTAAATGAACGAAACTTGATACAACACAGAAAAATTACAACTTCAAAG